GGTTTAAATCGGAAACTGCTGAGGTGTAAGACAGGTTTACAAATGACACTACTGCCACAGCTGCAATGTCTTTGAATTCTCACATCGGCACTTTCAAACTTCTCCGTATTTGCGACGACGATGCTTCCTAAAAGCTATTCTCTAGTCCTTGTGGCAGGGAGAGGGCAACGTTCAAAGTAAGGATTGTTCGGCAGCGTGAAGTACGGTTGGGCTTGATGGTTGATAGCAGTGAAGATCTTTCATGAACCTTGAGACGGTTGGCTAATGAGGCTCCAGGAAATGATTATAATATCAGAACTAACGGTCATAGCCATGCACTTATTTAGAACCAGCTGCCATTGTTCAGCCGGTCACCAAATGAGCCCGCTTCCGAGTTCAATGGCGGCCTTTGCTCCACCAGTAGGCACCTAAGCACATTTGAGAAACGTGGCTGCTGTACCGTAGTTTACATCTACCTCGTTCCTGGGTCACGGAGTATGGAAAAACAACCAGCCAGAAGAAATATTAGCTTAAACTATTGCGTCAGGGTTTCGAACCCCCAATTCCCATCGCTGTGGCCCGAAGACACTCCTCGGATTGCCGCACCGTCTCCCGTCGATTACGGACACATGATGACGCCAACTAAGTATGTATCGTTTTTCGAAACATCGAAGACGCGGGCGGATTAGTTCAAATATGGCTAGTATTGCGGATTTCCAAATCATGATTATCCCTGTGAAGGATACAATTTTCTTTCTATTACCAGACGTCTCTCATCGACCATCATCTCTGTATCTCGCTCGATTCATCCAAGGACCATTAACCTCCGCTTGTAAAGTGGAGCGTTTTAGCGAAAAGTAGCACCTTACCCTCTTTCAGTGCTGAAGTCGCAACGTACTTCTGCCAGACTTAACTTACTCGAAAAGTATACGTAACCTTATCCACGCTTTTTCGCCTAGCAAAGCTATGGTAATTGCCCAGTCTCCTCGGCCGAAGCATGTTCATACAAATTGGAGTCATATTTAAATACAGAAGAAACCAAAGCCAGTTTACACCCATGATTTGAGAGGCGATGACGTAATCAACGATCTCTTGCTTTTTCACTGTGCCCTATAGTTCCCACTGTAAAAACATGATATTCAGTTGAGTTTGCAAATTTCGATTCGCTACATTGAGATTAAGGAAAATTTAATTTTTGCATGGACAATGACCGTTAATAGTGTCGATTAGTTCACTCCTTTGATTCCATCCAATACTGAAGTCCTAAGACATTCCTACCAATGTTCACAGTTTAAGAATGATGCAGATGCACAATGACCGCTGTCCACTAATGGAAATACTGGTCCATAACTACAGCATGTGATTATTGAGGCATGACTTAAGTTTAGATTGCTTCCTCTGAATCAAATATTGGATTTTTCTTTTAGGGATTGATTAAGCAACAATTATCCTAATGACAGACACTTCGGTGGAAACGCAGAGCCGCTTGTGCCAAGCAGTTTCCTGTATTACTCAGAACATATAGACAAAAAATTAAGCTTTCATAAGAAATTTTGACATTGAGGGAAATGTTGTTGGATAACAGATGTGAAATATATTGAATCTTTCTAATCATTCATAATATTAAAAGTGCTGGGCATCTCCAACTGGTAATAATGCATCGCCTCACTTTTACTGACAACTTCAGTGCAGTTTTTCATTTGAAAGATGGATCGGCAGTCGAAAGTCACGGGCTGGAACTCGTGACTAAGTAAACTCATCTTTCATCCTTTCGAGGTAAGCGTGTGGGAACGAAGCAAAATCATACGGAATTTATCCTAGAATGAAAAACAAATTCTAACCATCACTTTCATAAAATACGACACTTCCGACTGATGGCATAATGACGGAAATCAGCGTTGCACTATAAGCACCATACAAAATGGAATGAGAAAGGTGTTTCGCGGGGAGCTGGACTGAGAGAAATAATTGCTATCCTCTGCAAAGCTAAGAAAAAATAGGCCGGCCATGTGGCTCGCCTCAAACATGACCGATGGTCGTCAAGATTTACAAACCGGGTTATTATTGACAACAATCATAAACTCACTTGTTGAAGAATACGCTGGAGAAATCTGATGGTCAAGTACTTCACCAGGGGTACAGGAGGAGAGTGACTAACAAAGAATATGGAATTAGTGCCAATTTGTTTTCGTAGCACACCTACAACGAGGACAAGACAGATAAATCTGAAGATGACTGAAGTGTACCAGACGAATGTAAGCTTTTAGTTCTTTCTGT